AATCATACTTAATGTAACATTAGAGAGAATGCCAGTTTAATGAGCCTCACTGTTTGTGCATGGAGTTAACATACTTTATGGAGGTCATCTAGGATTTCATTACTTTTAATATTGACTGTATACGTCCTGCTGATGATTTTGGAAATTGCCTGTTACGGATCGATTGGACAATTCTTGTATTGATCAACTTCAGCAATGCCCTTTAATGTATTTTGGGTGGATGGCTTTCAAGGGAAGTTTGTTTACTTTTCAAATCTAGTATACTTGCAAAGTGTCTCCAAAGTAGCCTACCTAAGCTTTAAATGAATAACAAATCAAATTAATCAACAGAGTTGCCATGAGAAGACACATTTATACCATTAAAGATTCAGATTTTTTTTTTCTCCATACAGGTTTTCTTGAGATATGTCTAATGGCAGTACGTTTGTGGTATTTTTGAATTCACAGAGAACATACTATAAATCTTTAAGGTGCTTTTTAGCCTCTTTAAGCTAGTAGTTTTATGACTTATTTAATGAAATACTTTAAAAAGTCTTTTCTGGCACCTCCAGACTCATAAATAGTTAAAAAATCCCTATCTATTTTTGTGACAGACTGTATAAATAGATGGATGACGTGTCTTTACTGTACCAAAGCTGAAGCCAACATTCCATATATGGGCAAAGCCTATCTTGTTGCTGTGACTTAATTTAAAGAGTTAGATCAGTAATCAGGGGGTGGAGCTGCTGTAATCTAGGCCCCGCGCATACACTTGCCTAGAAAATAGGCAATCACAGCCACAGCTTATTAGCATTACAGCCACCTACTGTTGTTACAAACTGGATAGTGAACAGTGCACTTTAACTCTTAAGGTGAAATCAAACATGGCTTCAATAAGAGGATCATGTTCAAACTTTGTCTTCCGAATGCAGAGATGGGAATTTGTTTGCTAACATGCCATTCTTCTTTTACCCTACTCTGTTTTTTCTCAGTTGAGTGGGCGGAGTCTTGCCAAACATGAGCCAGCGCGATGCTCTGCGGATTCTGGCGGCCCACTCAGCGTCCAATCACCATGCAGATCAAGGGTCAAAGGGGGTGTGGCACCGAGGCAGACAGGGGAATCTGGGAGCCTCTACCTCTCAACCTGCAGCACCTTAACCTGCCACTCCCAATGATGGGGGCGGGGCACAACGCCTCCAGTCTCCCTCCTACCAGGACAGGTACACAAACAGAAAGATGTTGTGATAAGGATCAAAACAGCTTAGTGATCTGACTACTGTGGAGAACTGTTAGCTGCCACTTCAAACCGCTTAAAGACAAATACAATTTTCAATGAATGTCTACAAATTGAAACATCTTCTAAAAAGTCAGGAAGTATTTAAGTTTGTGTCGTTTTAAACGACAACTACAACAAGTAAATCAGGTCACCGCCAACCAGGAATCAGCTCTGTGAACAGACCAGTACAATAAGTATAATAATAAGTAAGTAAGAGTTATTTAGATCTATCGGATGGACAAAAGCAGTATATTAGGATATTAAGTTGTAATAAGTAAGAGGATTCTAAATTAATAATTTGGTCTTCATTCTGTGTTTTTGTCTCCATTCTCAGACTTTATTACAGCCATCTTGCTCTGCCACAAGATCACTGTGATGCAGGACGGTACAGCTACCTGTCCAGTTCCCCCACGGGACACAATGGACATTAGCCACAAGGTGACACTAAGAACCAGAAATACACACATTGAATATAAATGTTAAAATTGAACTGTGTTAATCTGCACACAAATATTGGATGTCACTTTGGCCTCAGCAACAGTTTTAGTCCAAATTTGACAAAGAATTCCTGCAATCAATAATAAATGAAGAACCCATAAACATACACAAGCTTCGTATTGTTTCTCATTTACTTTGTTTCTTATCATAGATCCCTCAAGACCCAGAAACTGACTGGTCGTGGACAAAAGGGACAGAACTGCCTGATGGGATGTTGCAATGCAAACTTAGAAGAACCGAACGGCTTCCAAAGTCAGGTATATGCTTATATCTAATAGTTTATGTTGTAATTTATAAACTACCGATTAAGATACTGGAGTTCAGAACCGCCACTAAAATAATACCCTTTAAATTATCTGTAGAAATAAAAGAAATGACAGGAATTAAGGTTGCATTTGTTTTGTTTGTTGAAATAAAAACCAAAGAATAACAGCATCCACGGGCTGACTTAGGCTAGTTCTTGGATAATAAGCCAAACTTGTCAAGAAAAAAGCTCTGTGTCCAGAGCCGGACTGAGACAATAAATCAGGCCGGGAAATTCTCCACCCCAGCCAGGCCACTACCAGTTTTTGTGTGCCATTTTGCTAGATTTATTTGTTAATATTTAAAGCGTTGCTGCCCATAGTGATAGCCCTAGTTTAAATCTACTACCCAAAAATAAACGTATGGACATGGGTCACTATTTAAAAAAATGTGAAAATCTATTTAGGAATCTATTCATGTGAACATATTTTAAGTGGGGGTGGACCTCAAATCCTCTAGGGGGGTCCGGGGCATGCACCCCCGGTAAGATTTGTTTGTTAAATGTTGGAGTTAATGCATCAATCTGGTGCACTTTGAGGGGGAAATAAAGAGACTACACCCATATGAAACAGAACTGTATACATTTAAAATAATCATAAAATCATAAGAGCATGGCCATAACCAATAACATACCATATCCAATATTTAAAAACACTGAAACGTGTTTATTTATTTGTTTTTGTTCATTTATAGTTGTGAGTGTGTCTGGGCTCCTGAACCAGCCTCTCCTGTCTCCCTCCTCTCCCTCCTGCTCCTCTTTCATGCAGCAGCAAAGACTAGTTTTAGCTCTCAACAAGTTTTAATAAGTTTATCTACCTTTTTTCACCTAGTTAACATTTTTTGAATTATATCATGCATATTTTACTAATCACTACCTCTCAAATGGAAATATGTGTTTACATAAATGGGACCAAAACCGTTTGAGACCCACAGGAGATAACTTAGACCACAGTTTAACTATTTCTAAACACTCAGAGTCCTTTACCTCCACCTGAGCGGTAGTTATCAGCCTCCTCAGTCTGACTGGAGAGGACTCTCCTCCACCTTGTTGTTGAAACAGCTCCTATATCGTTAGCGCAGCTAGCTAGCACCAGATGCTAACAGCAACAATACACCGTAACCGGTGCGCGCGCGCTCTCTCTCTCGAGCTCGCCGCCCCACACATACACCACACCCCTCCCGAGCTTAATGACACACAGAGACCAATCAATGGCATTAGTTGTATGATCTGTATGAAAGTGGCCATGTCGGCAGGCCACATTACTGTAGACAGCCAGTCACCTTCTGTGAGGCAGGAGTCAAGACCCACATTTGCGCAGCGTTGCGTTCACAATACATAAAAAAAAGAATCCTCAGGCCAGCAGGCACTTAACAGGCCAGGCCATCGGGAAACCTCCCGGTCCTCCCATGGCCAGTCCGGGCCTGTCTGTGTCTACAGTATGTCTGTATGTTCCATGTTGTCCAGTTGGTCAAAAACATTAATCTGCCTAAATAATAAAATCATAAAAATATTTAGGTCATGCAAAATAGATCAAAGAATAAGTAAATAGATTTGAGTCACTTATTGACCTTCAATATTGACAGTTTGCTGCAGACGCATTTAGTTGTCACTTAAAAGGTACGGGGGGACTATACCCTGATCAAATATGTAAGCATGCTGTTATTTAGTGTATTGCTGTGGGGATCTTACCATTGGACTCAAGATGTGTGTTGTTTACAGACTGATGACGAGGACTTCATGATGGAGAAGCCGCTGGGCTTCATGCCCCTCCACCATGAGCTGGACAGCGGTCTGGGCTGGACCGATGGCTCCATCCACCCAGGGGGACCTCTCCGGGCTGGAGACTGAGGAGGAGGCCTGGAGGACTGCCATTCACATGGGACCCTCGCCCCCAGGGGGTTGTGGGGGCTTCGGATCGGTGGCGGCTCTCCCTCCTCTGAGTCCTTTATTTCCCGGAGCTCAGTGATTCGGGCTTCTACAGCGTGAGCACCGGGAGTTCAGGCACTTCCAGAGGCTGCTGGAGAAAGCGCATGCGGCTGTACAACGCCAGGCTGCAGCATCAGGGCGAAGCCTGCGAGAGGCGGGAGCGGCGTGACAGCTGCCCCAAGAGCCACCGGGAGCTGCTGGAGGCCATCCCTGAGGCGCTGGCCGTGCAGCCTCAGTGTCAGCACCTGCAGGTCGAGATGGAGGACGGCACTGGGTCCATCTTGGATCCTGCCACCACGAGACTTTTCAGGTAAGAAAGCCCCCTAAAAAATGACAGTTACGGTGTTGACAAGAAACATTTAATTTCTTAACAACAGCATCTGAGACTGAAGATGACGTCGTCAGAGTCTAAAAAGACACAGAGAGTTGTTCTTAAATTAGATTATCAGTTGCGCCTGAATTGTTAAATCCTTATTCAAAGCCTAAAAATGTAGCCACGTAACACCAGGTTTCTATGGAAACACTCATAACCGTGTTGACAATACCAGAATAACGCATGGTCTCAGTCAGTTGGTTTAGTAACAACAGTGAGGCGCTAAAATAAGATGTCAGTACCCCTTTAGGAATTTGTTGACTTTTTCTGCCTTTGCTTCAATTATAAATTGTTTTTTTTTTACCAAAGTAACAGTCGGTTATTCCCCTAGTTTTAAATGTAATCTCTTGGTTTAAAAAGCAGTCTAAACTAGACCATGTATAGCACAATTTACTTCATCCTAAACCAATTATTTAAAAAGGTTTTCTGGTATGTTTGAAGCTAATATTCTTTGTAATCTACGAAGAACACCAAACAATTAGTCCAGAATTTCATAACTTCTGAAATAGACATATCTGAAGATAATGTATTTTAGATTGAACTCTTTCTGATTGAACTATTTCCTACAACATGTTCTTATGCTGCTGTTTGACTTAACTTTTTGAATATTTTCAGGGTTTTCCTCGGTCCAGTTCACCAAGCTGACCGGCCCTGCTTTCTGAACCCGTCACCGCTCCAGCAGTGGAGCTCTGTTCAACCCCTCCCACGCCCATGCAGCAGTCTCACGAATTAATGCCCCAGTCCTCTCCACCTGCAGCACCCCCCTCCCAGCCACCGGAGACCACTGGTACCCATACAGCAGCAGCATCACGAGGGCTCCAGTTCAGTAGGTATGCTGAGAAGAAGCAGAAACTCTGCACCCTCGCCCTCCCCCGCAGGAGTACCGCCGCCGGGCCAGCCACCCATCTTCCCCCTCCTACTGTGCAGAAACCCTGCATCACTGTGGAGGTGTGCCCCCAACATAACGTTTCCTGCCACCGGGCCTTGGAGAGGGAAGATGAGCTAGTAGCTGGTGTGATGGGCTTCTCACCCAGAACCCTGGCCGTCCCACCACAACAACACCCCAATGCTTTAGGGCCATATTAGGAGTGCTAACACCCCATGACGATGTACGACAATAACGCTAATGCACAGATCGCTCACCATGACTGGTGGCACTCGCAAGAAAGAAACATGATGCCAGAGCAACTGGTGGCAGAAAGGACAGAGAGATGAAGGAGGGAACTGGAACAACAGAGGCAAATTCATGAAAAAGAGCTGGAGAGGGAGAGAGAGAGGGAAGGGAGAGAGAAGGGAGGCACAGATTCAGGAAGAGATGAACAGAGAGAGGCAGCAGGAGCTGGTGAGGAGCCGAGCCAGAGAGCAGCAGCACCTGCAGAGTTTAGTCAACCCTCCTCAGGCTGGTGATGTCAACGACACCTGGCCGAAACCTGCCCAACCGTCAGTCTCAGGGTGGCGGGGGAGGAAGAGGGTCTCTACAGCACCCTGGAGGGCCACACAGGGGCTGGCTGTGCAGTTGGATGGGATGCAAAGAAAGGACACATAAATGAGAATACAAGTCCTAATCCCTGTTTTGGTATTCAGCTGAAACCTAATCCAATCGCCCAAACCCAATACAACCTCTAGGGTCTCCAGGAAACCAGCTCTTAAGAGGACCGGGCGTCTCAGCTAGCGGATGAACGCAGTGGAATGAGCACAGACGAGGAGACCAATACCGACATGCTCATGGGTCGTTACTGGAGTCGCATGGAGAGAAGGGAACACTTTCTGTTGGCCCGTGAGCAGAAGCAGCAGCAGATGCAGGCCAGAGGAGCGACTTTACGAGACACATTGCCAGGGGAGGAACCATCGCTGGAGGAGGAGGAGTCTCTGTTGGAGAAGGCTCTATGCTGGACAACAGAGGAGGCGGAGCTTTTGCAGAAGGGAGGTGCAACACGGTGCTGGAGCTGAGTCAGAGGAAGCTCAGTCGTCTGAGGAACAGGAAGCTTTTGGATGACCTGGACGACCAGTAGAGGAGCTGTTGACTCATGGGACCAGGCTGAACAATGAGGACAGGCTGTGTACCAGCTCCCTGCTGACGGTCACCACCGTCTAACTGCATGGGCACCACGTTCTAAATATAACTGTGAGTGTGATGTCAAGCAAACATGACGACATTTTAGTGATTCCTCTTGTTCTGTCTTTTCAAACTCAATGGTTAGATGGATATCAGTTTCTTCTGTGTGACCTGTACACATATAGTTCCAGGAAATGGCCTAGCTAAGCAAAGAGGCAGGTGGCAGGGAGGAAATTCAAGCCTAGCTTAATCTATTGTAGAAATAAACAAACTCCTATCCTGTCTAATTCAAACAAAATGATTATCTACACCCTGCACAAAGTCGCACAAGAGACTTAATACAACCTCTTTGCACCTTAATTGCGCCCAGGTTATACACCTTTTTAAATGACAAAGTGGAGTAGGGCACACCCTAAATGTACTTGGCCATGCACTTTAGATAGTTTAAAGGTCCCGCACATCACCCCTCTATGGTTGTATGTACAAGTATGCCACCCCAAAACATGACTGTCCAGAAAGTACGTGCCAACAGCATAGTGCCACTGTTTGCTATTCAGCTTGCTGCCTCTATCATTTTTGGAGTATTTTTTAAATGTTGTTCATCTTCTAAAGAAGAAAAGGGTCCTCTTCTTCTCTGTACTTAAAGCTCAAAGACGAAACTGATAACCATCTTCTCATATAACTGTGGGGATGGCAGTAAACAAGACGACTTACGTAAATGTGGGACTGTTCCTTTAATGAATATGTGTGAGAGACTCACTACATCACCTCAACTGATAGCTTTATGTGTGGGTGTGTGATCACTGTACAGCACTCGGAACAAAATGTGTGTGTCAGTGCATGATGCTTGTAAAGACAAAAACAACTAACAAGGTCAGATACGCGTGTATGTTTGCATCATGTGTTTCATGCTACATCTTATGCTACATTTATTTCACAGAATCTTTGACAAAATGAAAAAGAAAATGAAATATTCAAACAGACCATGAGATTTCGGGGAGCAATACTGTTCTGCGTGATGTACCTGGCTGTGCACTAATGATCGATCACACAAGACTACTTTTACATCAGCCACAGAACACATCAACTGTAGCAATGCAGACAATGACAACTGAGATTTGATGTTAAAATCCTGAATGGCTTTTATAGAAACTCTGTTTACAATTAAAATATCAGTCCAGTGAGCTTTTGTAATGGAAATGAAAAACGCAACTGGGTTTACTAGGTTGTCAAACACTAGTGAAACCATGTGGATCAGGGATGGGGAACAATGTGCCACACAAAAAAAAAATCGACCACAGCTTTTATGTATGAAATCAGCTGCTGTTGTAGTTGGAAAACACATTAACGCCAACCACTGAGTTGTAATAATTTGATGGAAGATGAAATGATACATCTAAAATATTTTCTCAATGAAAGCACCATAATGTGTGATATCGTACTAACAAAAGTCCTTATTACTTTTCAGCCGACATGGCATGAATGCAGCATAAGATTCTCTGTTCATGGCACAAGGCTCCCTGTTCCTGCTGGTGTCTTTACTGTTGGCAGGATGTTTACAGATCTACCTACCCAGGGTAACAGCTTATGCATGCTACTGAAATCTCAAGTGATGCGTTGACTGTGTGGAGACAATTTCAAAGAAAGAAGATAAACTGCAAGTCAACTATAGGCTACGTTAGTTTGTCCAGGCTGCTGCAGCATCATGTACAGTCAGGACAGACAGCACTCAAGTCAGCGTTGACATTCCAGTAGAGGCAGGTACAGTGTGAGTACATCTGAAATCTACTAATTCCAGTCTGCAGTTCGGGAAAATGTGCAATAATACCTCAAGCTACTTTTACAATGACAGTGTTGTTGTGTGTGCACTTCCTGTCAGGTGTCCATCAATGCAGTAACTCGTTTAAATCAAACAGATGCACAAACATGACGAGTCACCGCAAGTGCACAGTAATCCTAGAATCAAAATGTCAAGAGCAACGGTTATGTACATATTTACATTATTTCTTTACATCGTTTTCCATGAGAGGGACCTAAGAAAACAACTTTTTGCACATCATTTTTTATACGAAACGTTTTCCCTACCTTTCTGTACCAGGGACTAAGGCCAGTGGAACGACTGTAGATAGAACGACTGTGTGTTGATGTTTCTTTATAAACTATCATAGTGATTTATGAAGGAAAACACATGTTTATTGTCATTGTGTTGGACATATTTCAATATTTTTCTTGTGGTAGATTCAAACCAATGTTTTATGACTTTTAAATCTACTTAATTTATTAAAAAGCTGAAGAAACTTTGATTTACCATTTTCGAAGAGTGAACACAGAATGTGAATATTATTGTCTCTTTGAATGGCTAAATTGAATTTTATTGTTGTTTTGTGTCATTATGACATGTACATATTGATTTTGTCAGAAGGCGCAGATGAGGTTTGAGTTAGTAATAGGACATGCTGGTGCCACCAGACACCTCCAGTGGTTTATCATGTGACTCTGTAGGGTTATACAGTCGCTGTGTTATGGAGGCTGTGTATACAGCACAGAGATTATTGTAGTATTAGTACATTTAACACTCACAATATGGTCAACGTTCATGGAAAGTAGTTCAGTTTGTTCTGAATGTTAAATGTGGCATCCATGAATTATAAGTAGGCTCACTGACACTGTAATGCCTAAAGGAGCACTACAACATTTGAGATGAATCTTCTTTCTCTCTGTCTTTTCCAGAGTCATATGATTTAGATGGATATCAGTCTCATCTCTGTGTATGGGGGATAGGAATAAGGTACACAGGGATAGGTCCATACATGTTTAGCATTGGTAAGCAGGAATACTAGTGGCAAAAAACTCACAGCAGCCAGTGTTATATGTTTAATCTTAATAATTAAACATGTGTATCAATATAAAAAAATGGTGGTATTACCAGATGTATTGAAAAACAGTGGAGTATATTTGTATTCAAAACTAAACTGCTTTGAGCATCAGCATGGTAATATGCTCACAATTCACATGGTGATGTTTAGTAGGAAATGGTAACCATGGTTACTTTCCCAGTCAAGCTAATACCATTAGTAAAACAGACCTAAACAAAAACAGACATATTTGAATATCCGAACATCAGAGATGTGATAAGATATTAATCTTAGAGATCTGGAACCAGGCGAAGCTGGGCGTAGTGACAGAATATTCTTTCCTTATGGTAGAGTTAGGATTAAGAAAGCAAATTGTTTAAATTAGACAGCTGTGGAGTTCTTGAAAGCCTGAGCTAGGTTAGCAGTCTTTGTGCTGACCTCAGCACATCCTTGGCCCTTCCATGGACAGGAATCACAGAGAGGAAACTGATATCCATCCTCTAAGATAATTTACAGAAATGTCAAACTGTTTGTTTAAAACACTCAGAGGGAAAAGACGTGGAATCTGATGTTTCCACATTTCCCCTCTCTCTCCCGGCTGTGACTCAAAGAGTCTGAATAATGGATGACGAAGAAAGAATTGTTCCTTTTCACCCGCCCCCGCCTTCACTCTTTTTGCTTACGTTACACAAGGACACTAAGAGCTGAAAATAGCACTGCTGTCCTCATGTGATGTGAAATTAAAAGCACACTGGAGCGGAGACACTTGCTGCTGGGGATCTCAACACTTGTTTCACTCCATCTGACAATCCCTCCATCCAGCCTGCAACACCACCTCCATCTGTCTGTGCAAGGGTACTTTTCACAACAGCAAGCTTTTTGGAATATGATGATGTACATGTGATTGTAATAAAGAGATTTTAATTAGCTATGACACTGTGTTTTTGTGTTTTGATTAATAGGTTAATAAAACATTTCTGACATTAGGTAGGTCCTAATGTTCAGATATGAACAGTAAAGGCCAAATTATTCATGAGCAGTATGTGAATAAGTCTAATGGTGTGAACCAACATCAGTTGAACATACATCAGCACACATTGGTAATTTATTTATTAACCATTACATAAGTCATTGGCGTTTTAACTTTTTTTAATCATGTGTCGCAAAGGTTCGAATAGATGCTGTATGTAAAACAAATTAATAATAATATTAGCAAACTTTAAGTTAAAAACAGAGAGGTTACTAATGATCAATGCATTTAAACTTAACCAATTCACATGATAAATGCATGAGATGCAAAATGTTAAAAATCCTAAAGGGGAAGTAGCTTACGGTATCCTTTTTTGGATTTGCACTGATACAATGCTTAACCTTCCCGCCAGGATTAAACACAAACCTGTATAATAAACAGAAATGTATTATAATTGTCTTTTCATTACGTAGAACTGTAATTGATTTATAACCATTTTTAAATGCAGTGGTCAACAAACACAGTGGGGTTATTTTGCCACACACCTGGCCTCACACAATGAGACACAGGGAACAGACAAGAGTGTGGGAATGAGGAGGAAAGTGACCCACTGATCCCCCACCAAGGGACACAGGATCAAGACCTCTGCCCTCAAGAGACAGAGGTTGAGAAGGAAGGAGGTGGTATCATAACTAAATATCATTTATAATTCTTGGTCATTTCTGGTGAAAAAGTTAATGCATAACACTTTTAATAAACGCACATATCCAGTTGCAGTTCCATAACTTCCAATAAGTAAACACTCCAGACATATTTCCCGCTGATGTTTTATTATGTTGCTGGTAATCCATCCAGTAATGTGTACCCTACAATGTGGTGACTCCTTTATTCTGACTGTATTTAATGGTTATGGTTCAATGCATTTGTGTGATGCATTAAAAGCATTGATCCGACCCTCCATCTGTTTCTCTGAAATCTCACCATTGTCCCCTTCTAATATGACCACTGAGCAGGTGGCAGCTCAGCATTCCCTCTTCTTTTGACCAGCACTGTGATTGGTCAAAACCCAGATCCACACATTCATATGGAGATGTGGGACTAGCTCCACAGTCCAGACCAGCATCACCAAAGAGAAGAGTCCAGTCAACAGCGCCCCCTGGAGGCCGTGGTAGACCCCTACAGACTGGAGTTACTACCAGACAAACTGAGATGACCATATTGGTCAAAGGTTACTGGAAGTGAATTCTTCTGAAGTCTGAAATACTAAGAACTTGTTCTTCTGTTTGTACAGAAGGTTGTTTTTGTTCGTTTTCTTTATGGAAGATGACATTTCCTGAGGAAATGACAGCAACTATATCTTTCAAGTTAAGAAAGAGAACATCTTGTCATGCATGTTGCATGAACCAAATCTGATTGCATTTGCAATTATAATTTTAATACACTGTACTTCCTGTTAAAGTGCTATGGTTACATTTGTAATCTTTTGGTTGTTATTGATCATTTTGATCAGAAACGTTGCCTGTTCTTTTTATGGAAATATTTTCATAACAACTTTGTTTTGATGATAATTACTCAAAACTGATCTGTTGCAAGATCCAAATGTTTATCCTTATTTGTAAAAGGTTTGTTTATGGCACAATTTTCTTTGATAAGTTTAATATTCACTGCACGCCATCTGTTGGTGAATGAATGAGATATTTGTCATCTTTTGATTGTTTATTTTCCTCACTTTATGTAAGCCATCAAACTCCTGAATCAATGATGGCTAGGACGCACTGTTTACCCAGCTGGTCTGGCCCTGTCCCCCCCCCCCCTTTCGCAAATGAGGGCCTAGGCCCCTTGTCATGTCTGCCGATATCTGTTTTTCTTATGTCTGTTCGTTTTAATCTGTGTCTATGTTGTTGTCAGTAACGTATTGTCTTATCTTTTTAAATGCCTTTGTGATGTGCTGCAACCCATTTTCCCCTCGGGGACAAATAAATGAATACTACTACTACAACTCTGGAGGACAGAGTTGAGTGTGAACGACGTCCACCCACACCACCAGCAGCCAAGTAATTCTCCAAAGGGATTTGGCACACTTAAGGAAACAGCTGCCCACCAGGAGACCTCCCACATTCATGTATAGAGAACTAGTTCTGATCAGCAATAAAGCATGATAATTAATACAGGTTCGAAATGTATGAAATGTTGATTAATTTACGCGATACTTACATAGATGATGTTTTTTCAACCCAAATTTCGAACGCTACAAGTCAGCCAATGGCGTCCTTTCCCTCCAGATGGCTGGTGATGTCACCCTCAGTTTTCTGTAACAACCCACAGCCAGCATCTGTCAGAGGAGTCCCTTTGTGGATCATTGACCACACCATACAGGGAGTCAGTGTGGGAAACTGAGCTCAACGTGCTACTCAGGCTGACTACAAGGCACGTGTCAAAAGACCACATCTGGACAGCTGCATGATAATTAGGTTGGGTTTAGTTCAAGTAACATGAATGGGCATCACACTACTTTATAACATCTTTTAGTTCTGTTTGCAAAAAAATGAATGAAGAGATTATATAATTTCTTTTTAAAGGATCAATCAAATCAATATAAAATGGAGTGTTATAACAGTTAAATATTAATTTGTTTAGTGAATGAATTGACCATTAATGAAATATCGCTTAGCTTTTACACTTGAGCTTATCCCAGCTCTAATTTAAATATACACAGTAAATAGTTTTCCCTTATGAGTGTGATGAGATGATGAGCGTGTGTTCAGTCAAAGTCATTGATCCCAGCATCAGGCATCAGATCTGCTCTCTACAGGGTCACCACTTTCCCAGATTCACACAGAGCTCTGTGAGTCTCTCTCCATCACCCCCCCCCAGTCCCCCACCTGTTTCCCTGGGATCTAACCATTGTCCCCCGGGCAATACGACTATTGAGTAGCTGCACTCCTTATTGTCAAACAGTGCTCTCTGATTGGCTGAGACTGTGAGAAAGTGCAGTTAGACCCAGACCCACACATTCATATGGAGATGTGGGACTATAAATAGGAGGGATGAAGCCAGCAGAGATCAGATTCTCTCGACAGAGACCTCTACAGCACAGAGATCCAGACCTGGCACCTACAATCACTGCAGCAATGACCAACTCTCAGGAGCTTCACACTCTGACCCACAAGGTAAATTCAAGATTCAAGAAGATTTCAATATTGTCCTTCAATCGTTGTCTTTGTTCATGCTACCACTAAACTCCAGAATAAGATTATTAATGACTTTCTTTTTCTTTCTGCAGCTCAGAAAGCCTCTGGTGGAGAAGTTACGCAGAGAGCGAATCAACAGCAGCATTGAGCAGATCAAGTCTCTCCTGGGTCCAGAGTTCCTCAAACAGCAGCCAGACTCCAAGCTGGAGAAAGCAGACATCCTGGAGATGACAGTTTGTGTCCTGAGACGACTGCAGCAGCAGAATCAAGCTGTGGACTCAGCAGCTGTCAACCAGGGCTACTCCAGGTGTGTGCAAGAGGTGACACACTTCCTGTCCAAAGAGCAGGGGAAGACTCAGTCCCAGAGAAGACTGCTGAACCACGTCAACAAGATGCAGTGTTCCTCTGATAAGAACCTGAGAGAGGCTGACTTCTCTCTGCTGAGCTCCACAGTCCAGACCAGCATCACCAAAGAGAAGAGTCCAGTCAACAGCGCCCCCTGGAGGCCGTGGTAGACCCCTACAGACTGGAGTTACTACCAGACAAACTGAGATGACCATATTGGTCAAAGGTTACTGGAAGTGAATTCTTCTGAATTCTGAAATACTAAGAACTTGTTCTTCTGTTTGTACAGAAGGTTGGTTTTAGTTTGTTTTGTTTTTCCTGAGGAAATGACAGCAACTATATCTTTCAATTTAAGAAAGAGAACATCTTGTCATGCATGTTGCATGAACCAAATCTGATTGTGTATGCAATTATAATTATAATACACTGTACTTCATGTATTGGTAGACTACACTGCTATGGTTACATTTGTAATCCTTTAATTGTTGTTGATCATTTTGATCAGAAACTTTAACTGTTCTTTTTTTAAACATATGTCAAGTTAAGAAAGAGAATATCTTGTCATGCATGTTGCATGAACACATCTGAATGCAACAGACATTGATATACCTCACTGTACTTCAAGTATTGGTCGTATATAGTTTAATGCATTCAGCATCTTTTGATTGTTATTGATCATAGTGAACAAAGACTTCCTGTCCATTTTTAGGACGTAGTCATAATTGACTTAATTTCTCTGATAACTCAGACCTGATCTGTTGAAAGATCGAATTGTTTATCCTTTTTTTCCAAAAGGTTTTCTTAAATGTCACACTTTTCCTGTGATACTTTTATGTCTCACTACACGTTGTGTGTTTTCCAATATACTAACTTCATGGAGGATTGTTTTTTGTATCTCTTTGATTGGTCAAAGATATTAATTGTCCTTTTTATGGACATATTTGGACCTTCCCTCACTTTCTGTGATAATTGACAATTGTTCTGTTTTAAGATCAATATGTTATTCTTTGTTAAATGTAACATTGTCACAGTTTTACACTGACAATGTCATTTAAAAAATCAATTGATTATTAAAACGATGTGACCAGTTGTAAGGTCAGTTTTTATACAAACATGTTTTTTAACTAACAGTGAATGTTTTAATGTTCCCTCAAAAAGTGTAAATTGTGTGTCTTTTGTAAAGACAGTTGTTCCTCTACTCTTTGTGGGTACAGTGTCTTGTAGAAATCTACAAGTTGTTGTTGTGATGTATCATCACCTCTAGATGCAGCATTCATGATTTATTTTTGCTCATTGTGCTTTTTGAATAAACAAAAATTGCCAGCTGAAAATGTTGTTCTATAGTTAGTTGTTCCTTACACTTGCCCTTGTTATGATAGAAACTTGAGTTTTATTGAATTAAATAAGACTTCTCTATAACCATCCACCCATTGTAAGACGCAGTATTTGTCTAAGCTTAACACACAATCCATCCATCACTTATAACCACTTTGCATAGATGTCACTGGGTTGGTAACTATTAACACATTTGGGTACTTTAGAGTTGCTTGTTAAATTAGACTGCATGTCTTTGAGCTGGGGGAGGAAGATAGAGACCTTTGAGGAAACTCATGAACCTACAGGGAGAACAATACATCTCTTCAAATCAAAGTTTCATTAGGTTCAGACCTAGAACCCTTTCACTGAGTTACAGTGCTAACTGCTGCACCATACCGGTACATTTTCAGCTGGTTTCACTCGGATTATTCATGAAATTAGGTCAGTTTTTGCTAAAGTCATCAACTGAATGAGACAATGTATATTTTTAAATATTATTGGCGGAAAGAACGTTTTTTAATTAACTGTAAAGTGTGGTTGTTTAATGTAAGAAATGTAAATGAAAACGTTTCTACTTCAGAGACAGAAGACATTGTATCTGATGTGATGCATAATGAGGCACACTTCTATTGTTCCTCCAGTGAACGGACAGCGTGTGGGAAACCAGAGGAACCTCACTCACAGAGCCCTGTGGGACAAAAGATCTGTGCCCTATAGAGACAGATTCAAAACACTCTGGATCCCAGAAGTGCTCAATTCTTAATCTGTTTCAGATCATTGATTAATATCTAAGTCAAGTTTTTCCTACCACGATAAAAACTGCTTGACAAAGCCTTTTGTACCGTATAAGAGTCTGTTAGTGAGCCTACTTGTAAAACCAGATTGTTTTTGAGAATTTAAAGAACAACTTATTGGTCTTGTCTCAGGAGGACTATGTTGTGCTACTTTACAACCGATTACAAGTCACTGGAAAACAGAACATTGTTTACTTTGATTACCAACAGGTCGCTGTTTTTTAGACAAATGATGACCACAGCCAAGTATCAGATGTTGACCTCAGGGTTTATGGTTTACATGAACTATACAAGACTATTTTATTATGAATGACTGATGGTATGTGATATCCGCCAAGGTTTACAACACCTACACTTTTGACATTATATATGAATGGACATATTTATGTTTGAGTTGTACAAAGTAAGGTCAATTAGTATAAAGATAAGGAATGATCTAATGATCCAAGTGTAAAATGGACAATCAATACATCGGTGTGGTTTTGGTCAAACAGAATCATTTGTGTTAATAGACAGAGTGTGGGAACTCTCAGGAGATCACAGTTTAGCATGATTATGGACCTAAACCCCACGAGCAGCAGATTATTCTCTAAAGGGATTTGGCACACTTCAGGAAACAGCTGCTTCAACCTCCCACACTCATCTAAAAAGCAGAACTCCTGAACAAGTTGCTAATGATAAAAACATTTCTGAAAAGATCGTCTACATTTTCCAATGAATAATACAAATTGTCTAAATAATGTTAGAAATAAATGTAGTGGACTCATCATTAAAAAGCCAGCCAATGGTGTGGTTTCCCTCCAGATGGTGGGTGACGTCCGGCTCTGTTTCTACCACCACACACGTCCAGTATCAGTCACAAAGGCTCCATTCAAAGTCCTTTTGTTGTTCACTGACCACAGCATTCAGAGTCAGTGTGGGAAACTGAGACCAACTTTCTACCCACACAAGTCAAGAGAGTGTGCTACGTCTGGGGATAAGCATGTCAGTTGTCCTTCACATTTGAATATAGAATGGAAATGTGAATATTTTTCATTGCATGTAAGAATAACATTTATAAGATACATTTTTGATTTATTTTCAAAGTTGTAGAAATATAGGGTGATTGTTTTAATAAGGATTCTATCTGATTTAATCAAGAATAAAAACTAAACTAAAAGACATAAAAGGCTAATAACGTTTGAAGGAAATATATATTTATCTGAATAACTTTTGTAGTTAAATGTAAGTTACACAGTGCTTTTTATCCAGCAATTCAATGTCGGTATCAAACGTGTGTGATGAGATGATGAGCGTGTGTTCAGTCAAAGTCATTGATCCCAGCATCAGGCAGCAGATCTGCTCTCTACAGGGTCACCACTTTCCCAGATTCACACAGAGCTCTGTGAGTCTCTCTCCATCACCCCCCCAGTCCCCCACCTGTTCCCCTGGGATCTAACCATTGTCCCTTGGGGCAATAAGAGCATTAAGTCTGCTGCATCCATTATTGTCCCAACTCGCTCTCTGATTGGTTGAGAGACTGTGAGAAAGCGCAGTTAGACCCAGACCCACACATTCATATGGAGATGTGGGACTATAAGTAGGAGGGATGAAGCCAGCAGAGATCAGATTCTCTCTACAGAGACCTCTACAGCACAGAGATCCAGACATGGCACCTACAATCACTGCAGCAATGACCAACTCTCACGAGCCTCACACTGTGACCCACAAGGTAAATTCAAGATTCAAGAAGATTTCAATATTGTCCTTCAATCGTTGTCTTTGTTCATGCTACCACTAAACTCCAGAATAAGATTATTAATGACTTTATTTTTCTTTCTGCAGCTCAGAAAGCCTCTGGTGGAGAAGTTACGCAGAGAGCGAATCAACAGCAGCATTGAGCAGATCAAGTCTCTCCTGGGTCCAGAGTTCCTCAAACAGCAGCCAGACTCCAAGCTGGAGAAAGCAGACATCCTGGAGATGACAGTTTGTGTCCTGAGACGACTGCAGCAGCAGAATCAAGCTGTGGACTCAGCAGCTGTCAACCAGGGCTACTCCAGGTGTGTGCAGGAGGTGACACACTTCCTGTCCAAAGAGCAGGGGAAGACTCAGTCCCAGAGAAGACTGCTGAACCACGTCAACAAGATGCAGTGTTCCTCTGATAAGAACCTGAGAGAGGTTGACTTCTCTCTGCTGAGCTCCACAGTCCAGACTAGCATCACGAAAGAGAAGAGTCCAGTCAACAGCGCCCCCTGGAGGCCGTGGTAGACCCCTACAGACTGGAGTTACTACCAGACAAACTGAGATGACCATATTGGTCAAAGGTGACTGGAAGTGAATTCTTCTGAAGTCTGAAATACTAAGAACTTGTTCTTCTGTTTGTACAGAAGGTTGTTTTTGTTCGTTTTCTTTATGCAAGATGACATTTCCTGAGGAAATGACAGCAACTATATCTTTCAATTTAAGAAAGAGAACATCTTGTCATGCATGTTGCATGAACCAAATCTGATTGCATTTGCAATTATAATTGTAATACACTGTACTTCATGTTTTGGCAGATTACAGTGCTATGGTTAAATGTGTGTAATCTTTTGGTTGTTATTGATCATTTTGATCAGAAACGTTGCCTGTTCTTTTTATGGAAATATTTTCACAACAACTTTGTTTTGATGATAATTACTCAAAACTGATCTGTTGCAAGATCCAAATGTTTATCCTTACTTGTAAAAGGTTTGTTTAATATCACAATTGTTCTGCGATTAGCTTACTACTCACTGCACGCCATGTGTTGGTGAATGTATGAAATGCGAATATTTGTTATCTTTTGATTGTTTAGATTAAAAGAAACGTAACTGACATTTTATTATAGAGGACTTTTCCTCACTTTATGTATGAAAAATGATCTGTGTTAGATTCAACAGTGTTCTCCTTTTATTTATAAAAGATGTGTTTAATGTCACAATGTGACAGTTTTACAGTGGCAATATTGTCCTAATATTTAATCATTTAATATTATTTAATGGTTATAAAAAAGGATTTGACCTGTTGCAAGGTCAGTTTTTACAAAATGTTTTATTGATCAATATTGCAATTGAAATTGAGTACTGTGTCCTCACATATTGTGATTCGCTTGTCTTTTATAAAGATGGTTGTTCCTCTACTCTGTGTGAGTACAGTGTCTTGTAGAAAAATACAAGTTGTTGTTGTGCTGTATCATCACCTCTATTGGGCTTTCATATTTAGGTTGTTGATTGTGCCTTGTTGATTAAACAAAAAATGCCAGCTGAAAATGTTGTGTTCTCATTGTTTTTACTTTTCAACAGTTTTTACCCCTTAGTTGATGAATAAAACTACATTTCAAAAACAGTAGTTCATTATTCACAACACCTGCTAAGTATCAACGTAAGCATATGAATGTGGTTCAATCGATCACTTTAATGAAGGATCTTTAATATGAATATTTAGATGGAGTTAGTCAAGTCATCAGACTAAATGTGACAACAATCTAAAACACTTTCTGTACCATGTTTTTTGATTAATGTCAGTTATAGGTGTTATAATAGTGAAACCTAAAGGCTTACCAATGTTCTCTTTAAAGAACTCAGACATTTCTAACGAGAGGCTAAATAAGACACTTTTAGTTGATTTTGCACAATTAACAAATAGAAAACATTACAGAGTATACACTTATACAAGGCTTTAAGATGCTTTACATCTCACTGAGCTTATGGAAACATTGTTTAGGAGAATAAAAGATTGTTGTACAGATTATTATATGACTTCATAATAGTGACGGCATTACAACAGCGTGTCTGGAAGGGTTCACAGCCGATGTTCTCCTCATAGTTAGTTGTTCCTCTTAACCTGTTAAGCCCCAAGCCTGTTTTTCAGGTTTCTCGAAAATGACATTCCCAGAACAAATGACCATAACTACACTTCTAAAAGGGTTAAATTAATAATCCTTTTTCTCAAAATAATGATAAACCTGTGAGTTGGATGTAGAAAAGTCAGAATCAATATAGATGTTTTTTATTTTAAAGAAAATTCAGATTTAACATGGTAAAAAACTGTAAATTATAGTGTCCGTCCAAAAGATATGTTGTATTTATAGTGAAAACTAACCTTGGATGATGGGTTAGTAGACTAAAAGCTTTAGGAATCCAAAGTACAACATATAATAAGTACCCTGTATCAAGATTGATGCAAAACAAGTGATATTTGACCTTTTTAGACAGATTTAGCCAAAAAGACCTCTTCTGGGGCCATTTGGGTGGATTTAACCTATCTCTGGCCCCCCTTGCTCGATTTTGACATGTGACATCTCTTCCTGACCGCTAGAGCCAATAGAATCAAAGGGAAATCGTCCCATAGACTCTCATGTTAAAAAAAGCTTGCGTCTCTGTGCATGCAATCTTGTTGCAGAGCGTAGGAATCAGTGGCGGATTTAGGATTGTAGGAGATCCGGGGCTTAGCCCAGGAATTGTTGGGGGGGGGGGTGCAGGGGTAAAGTGCTATTTTTTTTACAAGTGGGGGGTGGACCGAACATCCTTTAGGGGGGTTGTCGCCTCCTCTAGGGGGGTCCGGGGGCATGCTCCCCCGGGAAGATTTGTTTTTAAATATTGAAGTTAAAAGCATCAATCTGGTGCACTTTGAGAGCAACATTAACCCTACCTTAATAATACCTTAAAGGGGACATATAATGCTATATTTGAACAATATATTGTAGGGCAATACCTATATAAAGTATATAAATAGTTTTTTTTTCAAAATACCAAACAGATCCTGCATTTTAGCCATGCCTCATTTTGATCTATTTGCTCTTTCCAGCCCTGTTTTTGCAGAGGGCTGATTCTGTGAGCTGCACCACGCTCCCCTGCAGGAGAGGGGAGCGTGCTTTGAGATCAGCTGCTGGGCTGCAGCAGGGAGAAGAGGGGGAGAAAAATATATCTCTGTCCTCCGTGTTTTATTCTTATATGATTATATAGTCATTATTCATTTGTTTTAAAGCTCAATAAATAACAAAGAAGACCTTTGACCGGCACTTTTCTAATTTTGTCCGGAAGATTTAAACTTTAACGGACATGTTGACCGGCGAAAAAAAATCTAACTGAAACTCTGCCTCACGGTCCCCTCGTTCCTTGGAAGAGGTGGAGAGGTGGGTGTTTGTCATCTGCTGGTGGACTACCGGAGAGAATTACAGCGAGAGAGGGATTGCATTGAATTACAGCAGCGGGAGCAAACGCTTGCCTCGGGGAGGGAGAAAAAGAGCCACAGCGGAGAATAAACAGAAGGGCAACCATGACAACCATGCACGGGAAGTCTTCTTCGCTGCTTTTGTGGCAGACTACAGCGCCACTTACAGGCCTGGCATATGTACTACAGCGCCTCCAGCGCTTTCGAGCGGCAATGGCCGGCCGTGGCCCAACCCCACATTCCCCTGATAGGTGGAGAATTGACCACTAAGCGGAGCACCACTTCTGTGACGTAGAAAATAATTCAAATCTGGATCAGTCTGTATCAGATCCGTTGCAGCCCCGTTTTTAGAGATTTGGGTATGGAGGAAAAGAGAGAGGGTTGTGTTTTCTGACACTTGGTGAGTTCCCTGGAACACCGGGGACACATATTCATGTATAAAAGACGTACAAAAGTGCATTTTGCATGATAGGTCCCCTTTAAAGCGGACAAAAGGCACTGGAGAACACTTATTCATTAACACCCTTTAATGAAGCAAACTAATGCCTTAACTCACTCAAATACAGTCGTTTAATTATTTAGGCGAAACGAATGTGCGTAGAGTTTTAAAGGATGCGGATAGTCTCACCTTGATTCTGGCGCATTGCTTATCGTTTTATAGATCTATTCTCATCCACCATCTTTGTTTGTGACGTAAAGAGTGTAATGCTGCGTTCAGACCGGACGCGATGCGATGTTTGGGGGCGCCGCGATTACATGTAAAGTCAATGCAGAGACGCGATCAGATGCGAATTCGCTCCGACGGCGCGCATGAAGCGGTGGACGCGGCGCGAATCACGCGATTGAAGGGGGCCGCGTCAAACGCGAGAGTTCAATTTTTTCAACTCGGGTGTCAAATTCACGTGACGCGTTCTCGCGGAAGCCAATCAGCGGTGAGGATCTCAGCCTGCCGTCACTGACGTTCAACCAGAAAACATCAGCCATTAGCTGTTAGCAGTTAGCACACAGAGATCACAGCTCCTCATATCTGTTTAGAAACTATACAAAAGTTAAACAAGAACAAACCACAGACTGGCTGTGTCATGGCGAATACAGTCGCTGGTTTATTTATGTCTGTAGGCCGTTGTTATGAGTGTGGAGTGAGCATATACAACGTTAGCTTAGCCTGGTCGACCCAATCTCTATTCAGAAAAGCATTCTAAAAGGTTTTTCGCCTGCCGTCTGTCTGCAGACTTGTCAAAGCATTAATTCATGGTTTTTACTAACCGGTATCAGTATGTTGTTACGTCGGCATCATTTAGAAACGTGTATTACAATTTAATCACGGTAAAATATGTTCATTTTGTTGTAGTTGTAGCTCCCGAGCCAGAGCAAAGCGAATATTTGCATCGCTTCCGGTGTGAATGTAGCATAAGAGTCAGTTTCTGACTGTTGCCTGTCAGTTCCGTTGCCTGTCAGTTCCGTTGCTATGGTTCCGTTGTTATGTGTACTGAAACGAGAGCCGGTATAATTCCTTGCGCGAAAACAAAATAAAAATTGGAATACTTAATTTTAGTGTCTTAAAAGTAGACAGAGGTATGAACGGTTAACGTTACATCTTAGAATAATTTTTAGTCATGTTCTGTATACATACTAACATATAAGGGTATTGACTTAGTGTGGTTTATCTTTTTGTCGCTGCTTTTAATTGAAACTGAGCTGTTGTGTTCATCAGTAAAGTGGAACTTCTGTGTGAACTATTCATATCTTAAACTGCACTGTAACTTTTTATTCATGTCCTTTTTATTCATGTATTTTTTCTTTTAATGTTTCTTTTATTATCTTTTACTGTTTTTAAATGCCTTTGTCTGAATGTCTTTCATTTTTGTAAAGCACCTTGAATTGCCTTGTGTTGAAAGGTGCTATATAAATAAACTTGCCTTGCCTTGCCTTGGTTACTCCATGTTTACTAGCTATAAGATTAACGTTACATCACTCTTTTTCACTTCTTACTCAGTCAGCCAGAGTGCAGATATCACCATTAGATTCACAAACCTGAAACATCATCCATTTATTCACTGCTGGTGATGACATTGTGGTCAGCTTCTGATACTGCTGCTGCTGCAGTTTGTGGCGCCTGCTTCGATGAAAATAACTTTCTAATATCCATAACTTTATAGGCTATTAGCTTAAAACTCGTCAGGCACTAGGAAGGATCACTTCTTCTTCAGGGCAGGGAAGGCTATGCAGTACGCAGGCTAATGTCCAACAGCGGCTGCCTCTCTGGTGGACTCCGGTACTGCACATTACTCCCGAGACATTTTCAAAAAAAAAAAATCTTTTTATAAAAATCTTTTTTAAGTGAAACATCCGGGGCTTTTCAGAAAACATCCTGGGCTTGAGCCCAAGTAGCCACCCCCTAGCGCCGCCACTGGTAGGAATATCCCTGCTCTGATTTCTGGAAACGGAAAAGCAGTTTTTATTGCTTATGGATTATCAGAACATTTCAAAGGGGACACAGTCACATTGGATATTAACCTATGGATTAACTACAGCATCGTTGTTATCGTTTTAATGCCATTGAAGACCAGTTTTGACTAGACAAAGACCAAGGTAAGCCATGTTAGCGTTTTTGGCTACCTAGCGCCACATGTTTTGATGTACGTTTTTGTTGATAACGTCGCGAGTTTGTATCTTTCAGTGTTGAGGTGTGCACCGTTAGATTCTGTGTCTCCTTGTGATCATAAAAGATGTGTTGGATGTGCACCTAGGATAAGTAATAAGGGAGCTAGGAGTGATTTTCGGTGCAGTAATAGGTTAGCATTTTTCGCTCGGGGCTAATTCAGAGGGTCAGTGTTAGCATTGTGGTTTTTTTTTTTAAATGAAAAAGATCAGTTAAATTAGTTTTTTTCCGTTATATGGATATGAAATATTCATAGTTTATTAAATATTAAGGTTCCTTAGACGTTGTTTCCTGCAAATGACGTGATTTCGGCCCCGGGACCGTGGGATTTAAGATAAGATGATTAGTTTCACATCTCTCAACATATGGATTTAATGAAAGCTGCTACTTATAGATTTATTTCTTCAAAACTACTTCACTTCATTTAAAAAAAAATTGTAGACCGTTGACCAGACAAGGTACTTTCTCAAACTAATACGACTTTCGTTTCTTCCATATGATGTTTTACTTTTAACTTTAAACATTAACACTGCACTATCTTCATAAGTGACCTTTTCTGGTTTCCTTTGATGTCAAGTACAATCTATTCACTTTTATGGTTAATTATCTTCAAGGGGGGCCTCACAGCCGCAAGTGCACAAGGTCCTCCAAAGGTCCATCTGTAGAGGGGCACATGCCTATTCACAGCAAAGAGAGGGAGTGTGGTAAAACTCTGGAGGACAGAGTTGAGTGTGAATGACGTCCACCCACTCCACCAGCAGCCAAGTATTTCTCCAAAGGGATTTGGCACACTTCAGGAAACAGCTGCCCACCAGGAGACCTCCCACTTTCATGTATGGAGAACTAGTTCTGATCAAGTTATTGATCAGCAATAAAACATGATAATTAATTAAAGTTCTAAAAGTATGCCAATGATCGGCGACTCAAAATATAAAATGCTGATTAATTAGGATGATAATTAGGGGACTTTTTTTCAACCAACATTTCGAACACTACAAGTCAGCCAATGGCGTCCTTTCCCTCCAGATGGCTGGTGATGTCACCCTCAGTTTCTGTAACAACACACAGCCAGCATCTGTCAGAGGAGTCCCTTTGTGGATCATTGACCACACCATACAGGGAGTCAGTGTGGGAAACTGAGCTCAACGTGCTACTCAGGCTGACTACAAGGCACGTGTCAAAAGACCACATCTGGACAGCTGCATGATAATTAGGTTGGGTTTAGTTCAAGTAACATGAATGGGTATCACACTATTTTCTTACATATTTTTTTGCCTGTTTGCAAAAAAAAAGGAATGTAGAGATTTCAGGATATTTTTTGTGAGGAAAAAAATATATAATATCATATCAAATTAAATCATCAATATAAAATGGAGTGTGTTTAACAGTTCAATGTACCATTGTTTTGTGAATGAAAGCGCTGACAAATATGAAATATCGCTTAGCTTTTACACTTGAGCTTATCCCAGATCTCATTTAAATATACACAGTAAATAGTTTTCCCTTATGAGTGTGATGAGATGATGAGCGTGTGTTCAGTCAAAGTCATTGATCCCAGCATCAGGCAGCAGATCTGCTCTCTACAGGGTCACCACTTTCCCAGATTCACACAGAGCTCTGTGAGTCTCTCTCCATCACCCCCCCAGTCCCCCACCTGTTTCCCTGGGATCTAACCATTGTCCCCCGGGCAATACGACTATTGAGTAGCTGCACTCCTAATTGTCAAACAGTGCTCTCTGATTGGCTGAGACTGTGAGAAAGTGCAGTCAGACCCAGACCCACACATTCATATGGAGATGTGGGACTATAAGTAGGAGGGATGAAGCCAGCAGAGATCAGATTCTCTCTACAGAGACCTCTACAGCACAGAGATCCAGACATGGCACCTACAATCACTGCAGCAATGACCAACTCTCAGGAGCCTCACACTGTGACCCACAAGGTGAATTCAAGATTCAAGAAGATTTCAATATTGTCCTTCAATCGTTGTCTTTGTTCATGCTACCACTAAACTCCAGAATAAGATTATTAATGACTTTCTTTTTCTTTCTGCAGCTCAAAAAGCCTCTGGTGGAGAAGTTACGCAGAGAGCGAATCAACAGCAGCATTGAGCAGATCAAGTCTCTCCTGGGTCCAGAGTTCCTCAAACAGCAGCCAGACTCCAAGCTGGAGAAAGCAGACATCCTGGAGATGACAGTTTGTGTCCTGAGACGACTGCAGCAGCAGAATGAAAAGCAGAGAAGACTGCTGAACCACGTCAACAAGATGCAGTGTTCCTCTGATAAGAACCTGAGAGAGGCTGACTTCTCTCTGCTGAGCTCCACAGTCCAGACCAGCATCACCAAAGAGAAGAGTCCAGTCAACAGCGCCCCCTGGAGGCCGTGGTAGACCCCTACAGACTGGAGTTACTACCAGACAAACTGAGATGACCATATTGGTCAAAGGTTACTGGAAGTGAATTCTTCTGAATTCTGAAATACTAAGAACTTGTTCTTCTGTTTGTACAGAAGGTTGGTTTTAGTTTGTTTTGTTTTTCCTGAGGAAATGACAGCAACTATATCTTTCAATTTAAGAAAGAGAACATCTTGTCATGCATGTTGCATGAACCAAATCTGATTGTGTATGCAATTATAATTATAATACACTGTACTTCATGTATTGGTAGACTACACTGCTATGGTTACATTTGTAATCCTCTAATTGTTGTTGATCATTTTGATCAGAAACTTTAACTGTTCTTTTTTTAAACATATGTCAAGTTAAGAAAGAGAATATCTTGTCATGCATGTTGCATGAACACATCTGAATGCAACAGACATTGATATACCTCACTGTACTTCAAGTATTGGTCGTATATAGTTTAATACATTCAGCATCTTTTGATTGTTATTGATCATAGTGAACAAAGACTTCCTGTCCATTTTTAGGACGTAGTCATAATTGACTTAATTTCTCTGATAACTCAGACCTGATCTGTTGAAAGATCGAATTGTTTATCCTTTTTTTCCAAAAGGTTTTCTTAAATGTCACACTTTTCCTGTGATACTTTTATGTCTCACTACACGTTGTGTGTTTTCCAATATACTAACTTCATGGAGGATTGTTTTTTGTATCTCTTTGATTGGTCAAAGATATTAATTGTCCTTTTTATGGACATATTTGGACCTTCCCTCACTTTCTGTGATAATTGACAATTGTTCTGTTTTAAGATCAATATGTTATTCTTTGTTAAATGTAACATTGTCACAGTTTTACACTGACAATGTCATTTAAAAAATCAATTGATTATTAAAACGATGTGACCAGTTGTAAGGTCAGTTTTTATACAAACATGTTTTTTAACTAACAGTGAATGTTTTAATGTTCCCTCAAAAAGTGTAAATTGTGTGTCTTTTGTAAAGACAGTTGTTCCTCTACTCTTTGTGGGTACAGTGTCTTGTAGAAATCTACAAGTTGTTGTTGTGATGTATCATCACCTCTAGATGCAGCATTCATGATTTATTTTTGCTCATTGTGCTTTTTGAATAAACAAAAATTGCCAGCTGAAAATGTTGTTCTATAGTTAGTTGTTCCTTACACTTGCCCTTGTTATGATAGAAACTTGAGTTTTATTGAATTAAATAAGACTTCTCTATAACCATCCACCCATTGTAAGACGCAGTATTTGTCTAAGCTTAACACACAATCCATCCATCACTTATAACCACTTTGCATAGATGTCACTGGGTTGGTAACTATTAACACATTTGGGTACTTTAGAGTTGCTTGTTAAATTAGACTGCATGTCTTTGAGCTGGGGGAGGAAGATAGAGACCTTTGAGGAAACTCATGAACCTACAGGGAGAACAATACATCTCTTCAAATCAAAGTTTCATTAGGTTCAGACCTAGAACCCTTTCACTGAGTTACAGTGCTAACTGCTGCACCATACCGGTACATTTTCAGCTGGTTTCACTCAGATTATTCATGAAATTAGGTCAGTTTTTGCTAAAGTCATCAACTGAATGAGACAATGTATATTTTTAAATATTATTGGCGGAAAGAACGTTTTTTAATTAACTGTAAAGTGTGGTTGTTTAATGTAAGAAATGTAAATGAAAACGTTTCTACTTCAGAGACAGAAGACATTGTATCTGATGTGATGCATAATGAGGCACACTTCTATTGTTCCTCCAGTGAAAGGACAGCATGTGGGAAACCAGAGGAACCTCACTCACAGAGCCCTGTGGGACAAAAGATCTGTGCCCTATAGAGACAGATTCAAAACACTCTGGATCCCAGAAGTGCTCAATTCTTAATCTGTTTCAGATCATTGATTAATATCTAAGTCAAGTTTTTCCTACCACGATAAAAACTGCTTGACAAAGCCTTTTGTACCGTATAAGAGTCTGTTAGTGTTCCTACTTGTAAAACCAGATTGTTTTTGAGAATTTAAAGAACAACTTATTGGTCTTGTCTCAGGAGGACTATGTTGTGCTACTTTACAACCGATTACAAGTCACTGGAAAACAGAACATTGTTTACTTTGATTACCAACAGGTCGCTGTTTTTTAGACAAATGATGACCACAGCCAAGTATCAGATGTTGACCTCAGGGTTTATGGTTTACATGAACTATACAAGACTATTTTATTATGAATGACTGATGGTATGTGATATCCGCCAAGGTTTACAACACCTACACTTTTGACATTATATACGAATGGACATATTTATGTTTGAGTTGTACAAAGTAAGGTCAATTAGTATAAAGATAAGGAATGATCTAATGATCCAAGTGTAAAATGGACAATCAATACATCGGTGTGGTTTTGGTCAAACAGAATCATTTGTGTTAATAGACAGAGTGTGGGAACTCTCAGGAGATCACAGTTTAGCATGATTATGGACCTAAACCCCACGAGCAGCAGATTATTCTCTAAAGGGATTTGGCACACTTCAGGAAACAGCTGCTTCAACCTCCCACACTCATCTAAAAAGCAGAACTCCTGAACAAGTTGCTAATGATAAAAACATTTCTGAAAAGATGGTCTACATTTTCCAATGAATAATACAAATTGTCTAAATAATGTTTTATAATAAGGATTCTATCTGATTTAATCAAGTATAAAAACTAAACTAAAAGACATAAAAGGCTAATAACGTTTGAAGGAAATATATATTTATCTGAATAACTTTTGTAGTTAAATGTAAGTTACACAGTGCTTTTTATCCAGCAATTCAATGTCGGTATCAAACGTGTGTGATGAGATGATGAGCGTGTGCTCAGTCAAAGTCATTGATCCCAGCATCAGGCAGCAGATCTGCTCTCTACAGGGTCACCACTTTCCCAGATTCACACAGAGCTCTGTGAGTCTCTCTCCATCACCCCCCCAGTCCCCCACCTGTTCCCCTGGGATCTAACCATTGTCCCTTGGGGCAATAAGAGCATTAAGTCTGCTGCATCCATTATTGTCCCAACTCGCTCTCTGATTGGTTGAGAGACTGTGAGAAAGCGCAGTTAGACCCAGACCCACACATTCATATGGAGATGTGGGACTATAAGTAGGAGGGATGAAGCCAGCAGAGATCAGATTCTCTCGACAGAGACCTCTACAGCACAGAGATCCAGACATGGCACCTACAATCACTGCAGCAATGACCAACTCTCCGGAGCCTCACACTCTGACCCACAAGGTAAATTCAAGATTCAAGAAGATTTCAATATTGTCCTTCAATCGTTGTCTTTGTTCATGCTACCACTAAACTCCAGAATAAGATTATTAATGACTTTCTTTTTCTTTCTGCAGCTCAAAAAGCCTCTGGTGGAGAAGTTACGCAGAGAGCGAATCAACAGCAGCATTGAGCAAATCAAGTCTCTCCTGGGTCCAGAGTTCCTCAAACAGCAGCCAGACTCCAAGCTGGAGAAAGCAGACATCCTGGAGATGACAGTTTGTGTCCTGAGACGACTGCAGCAGCAGAATCAAGCTGTGGACTCAGCAGCTGTCAACCAGGGCTACTCCAGGTGTGTGCAAGAGGTGACACACTTCCTGTCCAAAGAGCAGGGGAAGACTCAGTCCCAGAGAAGACTGCTGAACCACGTCAACAAGATGCAGTGTTCCTCTGATAAGAATCTGAGAGAGGTTGACTTCTCTCTGCTGAGCTCCACAGTCCAGACTAGCATCACGAAAGAGAAGAGTCCAGTCAACAGCGCCCCCTGGAGGCCGTGGTAGACCCCTACAGACTGGAGTTACTACCAGACAAACTGAGATGACCATATTGGTCAAAGGTTACTGGAAGTGAATTCTTCTGAAGTCTGAAATACTAAGAACTTGTTCTTCTGTTTGTACAGAAGGTTGTTTTTGTTCGTTTTCTTTATGCAAGATGACATTTCCTGAGGAAATGACAGCAACTATATCTTTCAATTTAAGAAAGAGAACATCTTGTCATGCATGTTGCATGAACCAAATCTGATTGCATTTGCAATTATAATTTTAATACACTGTACTTCATGTTTTGGCAGATTACAGTGCTATGGTTAAATGTGTGTAATCTTTTGGTTGTTATTGATCATTTTGATCAGAAACGTTGCCTGTTCTTTTTATGGAAATATTTTCACAACAACTTTGTTTTGATGATAATTACTCAAAACTGATCTGTTGCAAGATCCAAATGTTTATCCTTACTTGTAAAAGGTTTGTTTAATATCACAATTGTTCTGCGATTAGCTTACTACTCACTGCACGCCATGTGTTGGTGAATGTATGAAATGCGAATATTTGTTATCTTTTGATTGTTTAGATTAAAAGAAACGTAACTGACATTTTATTATAGAGGACTTTTCCTCACTTTATGTATGAAAAATGATCTGTGTTAGATTCAACAGTGTTCTCCTTTTATTTATAAAATATGTGTTTAATGTCACAATGTGACAGTTTTACAGTGGCAATATTGTCCTAATATTTAATCATTTAATATTATTTAATGGTTATAAAAAAGGATTTGACCTGTTGCAAGGTCAGTTTTTACAAAATGTTGTATTGATCAATATTGCAAATTGAGTACTGTGTCCTCACATATTGTGATTCGCTTGTCTTTTATAAAGATGGTTGTTCCTCTACTCTGTGTGAGTACAGTGTCTTGTAGAAAAATACAAGTTGTTGTTGTGCTGTATCATCACCTCTATTGGGCTTTCATATTTAGGTTGTTGATTGTGCCTTGTTGATTAAACAAAAAATGCCAGCTGAAAATGTTGTGTTCTCATTGTTTTTACTTTTCAACAGTTTTTACCCCTTAGTTGATGAATAAAACTACATTTCAAAAACAGTAGTTCATTATTCACAACACCTGCTAAGTATCAACGTAAGCATATGAATGTGGTTCAATCGATCACTTTAATGAAGGATCTTTAATATGAATATTTAGATGGAGTTAGTCAAGTCATCAGACTAAATGTGACAACAATCTAAAACACTTTCTGTACCATGTTTTTTGATTAATGTCAGTTATAGGTGTTATAATAGTGAAACCTAAAGGCTTACCAATGTTCTCTTTAAAGAACTCAGACATTTCTAATGAGAGGCTAAATAAGACACTTTTAGTTGATTTTGCACAATTAACAAATAGAAAACATTACAGAGTATACACTTATACAAGGCTTTAAGATGCTTTACATCTCACTGAGCTTATGGAAACATTGTTTAGGAGAATAAAAGATTGTTGTACAGATTATTATATGACTTCATAATAGTGACGGCATTACAACAGCGTGTCTGGAAGGGTTCACAGCCGATGTTCTCCTCATAGTTAGTTGTTCCTCTTAACCTGTTAAGCCCCAAGCCTGTTTTTCAGGTTTCTCGAAAATGACATTCCCAGAACAAATGACCATAACTACACTTCTAAAAGGGTTAAATTAATAATCCTTTTTCTCAAATAATGATAAACCTGTGAGTTGGATGTAGAAAAGTCAGAATCAATATAGATGTTTTTTATTTTAAAGAAAATTCAGATTTAACATGGTAAAAAACTGTAAATTATAGTGTCCGTCCAAAAGATATGTTGTATTTATAGTGAAAACTAACCTTGGATGATGGGTTAGTAGACTAAAAGCTTTAGGAATCCAAAGTACAACATATAATAAGTACCCTGTATCAAGATTGATGCAAAACAAGTGATATTTGACCTTTTTAGACAGATTTAGCCAAAAAGACCTCTTCTGGGGCCATTTGGGTGGATTTAACCTATCTCTGGCCCCCCTTGCTCGATTTTGACATGTGACATCTCTTCCTGACCGCTAGAGCCAATAGAATCAAAGGGAAATCGTCCCATAGACTCTCATGTTAAAAAAAGCTTGCGTCTCTGTGCATGCAATCTTGTTGCAGAGCGTAGGAATCAGTGGCGGATTTAGGATTGTAGGAGATCCGGGGCTTAGCCCAGGAATTGTTGGGGGGGGGTGCAGGGGTAAAGTGCTATTTTTTTTACAAGTGGGGGGTGGACCGAACATCCTTTAGGGGGGTTGTCGCCTCCTCTAGGGGAGTCCGTGGGCATGCTCCCCCGGGAAGATTTTTTTTAAAATATTGAAGTTAAAAGCATCAATCTGGTGCACTTTGAGAGCAACATTAACCCTACCTTAATAATACCTTAAAGGGGACATATCATGCTATAT